AAATGCATGTTTTGCAGAAAATTCTCTGGCACAAAATGATCAGGATGTTGCCACTATGAAATGAATACTTGAATTGAGTGAGGTGGTGGTCCATAACTAAAGAAAAAGCGAGGAAGTTCATAGTGTTGGTAGGTGATGTGTTGTTTCTCTTGTTTCCTTTTCGTTTGCTTACACATTTGTAAAGTAAAAAAAATGTATGGATTGAACTGATGCCGTTAATACCCCTACACACTCATACTATGTTGTTGACCCCTCATGTGATTAAAAGAAATACTGGCTAAAAATGAACAGACACACAGAGAGACATGGCTTACAGCCATGTCACATTGAAACACTGATTCTTGTTCAATCACTGAAGTTAAGCAATGTCAAATCTGGTCAGTATGCAGATGGGTGACCATTTTAGTATACCAGGTGCTGTAAGTTTGAGTGTGCAGGTGGTGTAATGGATATTGACTCAGAATGAGAAATTGAAGAGCTGAATTCAAATTCCAGTCAGATTCCTTATATTCATTGGGAAAGGTATGGATCCACCTCATCTCCTCCCAGCTATGGGTTAAATGTAAGAAGTAAGAATCTTTATTGCCAAAAAATTCTTAAAATCCAAAAATATGTTTTGGCTTTAAATAACCTCAAAAAGTTTGACAAGCTGTAAAAAACAAATCAATCACTCCAAAACACAGACACACACAATCTATTATTATTATTATTATTATTATTATTATTATTATTATTTCTCCCTTGATTTAACACTGAAGTGCATGATATCAGCATCTTTTAATTTAATGCACTGCTTGATGTTTTTATGTTTTATTTTTTATAATCTTGTTTTTAGCCCCCTCCTTAGTGATATTCTAAAACAGTTCCTGAATTACAAATATCTATTTTCTGTATGAGTTTGGGGTCAAATATACATTGGAATCTGACAGGATAATAAAATAAAGAACAAATAGGAAACGTTTATCAATTTAAATGTTTCACTTTTATTAAAGCTTCATCAGAGACTGAGATATGGAGAAAAAGAAGAAAGAAATTATGGTATTTTTACTTTTTTATTGTTTGATTTTCATTGGTTAATCATGTATCATGTGCATTCGACTCTTTTAAACCAACATTAGTATAATTTATGACATTCTAAATTCAAGGAGAGATGATGTGTTCAATTGACGGATTCCAAGTCTACCTGAAAAACCATAAATATTGTTATATGTATGTAAGTGCATAAAGATTCTAGTTTATCTATTTATTTATTTTGTCCTATCTGTATTTTTAATATGGTGACATTGCCACTAAATTAACAGATCTTGTGATTTTATTTACAAATATATAATTAAATTACAAATATAATATATTTACAAATGTATAATTGAAGATTTCAATGTTGATTTTCCAGTTCTTGTCTGATCATCGATGTTAAGCAACATTAAACTTAGATGGGTGATAGCTTGGATATGTGGGTGGTGTAATGGTTAATGGCTTGGAATTGGAAATTGGGAAGCTGAGTTCCAATTTCAGTCAGGTTCATTATATTCACTTATGTGTAAATACCATTGGGAAAGGTATGCAATCCATCTATTCTCTCCCCAGCTATGGGTTAAATAGTAGGACCTGTATCAATAAAATCAATCCAAAAATATTTTCTGTCTTTAAATAGCCTTTGAAAGGTTGATGAACTATAAAAAACAAATTAATCAATAAATGTTGATTAGTGCTTAGCAATTGGATGCCTGATCCTAAATCAATTTGAATGTAAAATGAGTTAAAAGTATTATCAGAGTGTATATATTACTTTCTTTTTTCTTCTTTTTCTATGTGCTGTATTTCTTCAGAACGTAGGTGGTCATAGGTTTCCACAATTTCCTATCCCTTGTAACTCTTAGTAATATTTTTCTTTTTTCCATCCCTCCCACTCCCTGTTCCACCATCAATCACACAAACTGGTTGGGTTACAGCTTTCCCATGTCCTTTTTGCCTTTGATATATCCTTTGAGTGTCAAATTCTCCAAACCCTCCTTCCCCATTATGTGCCCCAGAGATTTCATCTGTCTCTTTCTGATTCTGAGTATGTCTTTTTTGTTTCTATATTCCTTAAGTCTTCCTCGTTGCTTACATGCCTCGTCCATGGTATTCTCAGCATCCTTCTGTAGAACCACATCTCTGTTCCCTTCAGTCTTCTCTTCATCTGTGAGAAAATTGTCTAGCATTCACTGCCATATTGTCGTTGGCACCAGCTCGAATTGGAATTGTCATCCTCTCTTCCTATTCACTTTCACTCCCCCCTGGTGGTGCTTGCAGAGATGGCTTTGAATCAAAGAAAAGTTTAACAAGGCCATTTACATGAATTTTATTTTGTTGGACAACTCTGAGTGATGGAGAAGCCCACACACTTGGCCAGGATTGAAACAGGTAAGATCTGGCAAACCTGGTTGCATGAGGATGTCAAATGCTTGGTTTGTCAAGGTCTGCCTTGGTTATGCCAGCCCAGCTGGTGCTGCCTTCTTGCACCAGTTTGACTGTTGAGATCATGTAGAGTCTGCCATTGGGGTCTTCAGGAGTTGGTCACATTCAGTCTGGTCCTTCCTCTTCGACCTTACTTCCATGGGTACTACCAAATAGGAGGATTGATATTACATAGCAGTTCAGCACTATATTCTTTGTTTCTTTTGCTTCATGTCTCATCTTAATAAGTGAGGAAATTAAACAGCATTTACTGTCACATAAGATGATTGATAATTATATTCCTGTTCAGCACTCTTTTCATTGTTTCTAACTTTGTAGAAAACAATTCCTTAGTAATGAATTTACTTGAAGCATCAATATTTGATTTTCACATAATCATTTATTTTGCATAGTTTATATGGTAGATATTTTTTGTCAGTTTATTATGGTCAGTATAACAGTGGATCTCATTTTTTTTAGCATTATGTTTTTTAGGGGACTTAAAAAAAGACTTAGAATCCATAATACCATGTAAGATATTTTACATTTTCTTTCTTAATATATTTCAACCTAATTTTTCTTTCATTTACCAGAAAACCTGTTTTGAATTATTTTTTTTTATCATTCTAGACATTCGTGTACGCTCATATTAATCACATTGAAGTAATGAACATCAGTAAATTCGCAGTGAAAGTAATGTACAAGTAGAAATCAAATGATTTACCAAAGTTATCTCCCCTTAGACCATGTTCTGCAATGATTATAATAATTTCATTATACATCACAAAGACGTATTGAAATGCGTCATCTTAGTTTGTGTGCTGTGTCCTTTTAGGGCGTGGGCGATCATAGCTCTTCACAACTTCCTATCCTTTGCAGTTCTGAGTAATGTTTTGTATTCTTACTATCGCTCTTAGTTCTTGTTTTGCTATCCATTTTTAAGCTTGTTAATGTTTACTCACTGTTTTCTCTCTTGTCTTAAATAAAGCATCCCCATTGATAGTTTCAAGAAAAGCAATTTTAGAAGCCAGGTTAAAACTCTTTGGTTAGATCCTAAAAACAGGCATAACAATTCAGGAAAAACAATAAATGATCTTTTATTTGACCAGATGGACAAGGTCATCCAAAAATTACATCACCCCCACGTGACTTAATAATGAGTTAGAATAAATATACTCTCTACTTATTCTCAACATGGACTCTTAGGCTCACAAGTTGGTCTGAGAAATTTTTAAAATGGGCCTGGAGCAAATGATGTACTCATAAAGAAACTTAATCTATTGCAGGTTAAAAAGAGAAGAGGCCTGAAGCTGAACATAGGTTTGGAAGTTGACAAGCTGATAGATAGATACCAGGAGCAGTGTAGTCATTAGTCAGAATTTATGGGCACTTTGACATGGTTAGAAAGCTTGTCTTGCTAGATCAGTTATGCCTGAATAATCAGTTCGATCCTCACTGGGTGCCTCATACTTTCAGCCTTATGCCACATCTAAGCTACACTTAGAAAATCATCATTAGCCAGAATTTATATTTTCTACTACATTTTGCTTTGGTGAATGAGAAAGTTGAGAAACACTATTCTACTCGTTCAGTACTGCACGACGAAGAAGCAGAAGGGGACATGCATAGCTAATCTAGGGGAGAGGTGTGCCCTGACACAGGAGTTTGCTTTTGGCTGGAAGTGGAGCAAACCATTCTTCTCATTTTAGAAGGGAAAAGTCACCCAGCTCTGGGGATTCCAACACTGTGGCAACACCTTCCTCATTGCACTAAGAGAAGTGGGGGGGTCAGTGTAATAGCAGTGGCAGTGTTCAAGGGGACTTGGCAATTTTTTTCCTTTTCTGATATGTATATGTATCTACATGGTGCTCCCAATGTAAAACCAACCTTGTGGCACACCCTGCTTTAGTGGGGAAGCAGAGAACTGGAAGGAGTGGGGGAGGCTTGGTAACTCTAATCATGAATCTTGCTGAGATGGATGTCAGTGGTCAGTCCCACAGATCAGCTCCTAACTCTACTAACTTTCCTAAGAAATCATGGCAATTCACAGATAAGAAAGAAAAGGAATTTGTGGAGAGCCATGATTGCCTCCTGAAGGGAGAAAGATAGCTCTCAATTCAGAACCATCAAGAAAGCAAATGGAAATCATTTCACTATCTTTCCCAAGAAGTCAAGGAAATTCATAGATAATAAAGAAAAACAACTTGTGAAGAGACATGATCACTTACATCCGGACATGGCACTATAAAAAAAGTGCCTGAAGAATATCACTTATGACAAATACTTATCCATTCTGCAAGATTCATTGACTGATTGTTTTTTTATGGCTTATCAACCTTTTACAGGTTATTTAAAGCCAGAAAATATTTTTAGATTGTAAGAATTTTTTTTGAGTTAATGATGATTTACTGATACAAGTTTTAACTAACCCATATGATGAGATGAGGTTCCTAAAGGTATTTGCATGCAAGTGAATATAACAAACCTGACTGGAATTGGAACTTGATATCCAAATTCCAATTCTGAGCCATTATCCACTACACCACCCGCACATCCAAGTTTACACTACCTGGTATTCCCAAGTGGTCACCTGTCAAGGTATTGACCAGGCTCAATGTTGCTTAACTTTGGTGATTGTACAAGAACTGGTGTTTCAACATGATACTGCTGTAAGCCCACTTCAGCAAGAAGGAATTATTATCTAATGATTTTTTAACAAAACAAATGACCTTTTCTTGGCCAATGGAGCTTCACGCTATACAAAAGAAAAAAAAAATATGCAAATAGCAATCTCTCATGGCCAAGTCAGACCCTTGGCATAAATCCAATTAAACATATAAAAATTTGAAAGTGATAGTAAAGTGAGCTAACCCTTTACCATTCAAAGCTCAACCTTGAACTTGAAACTATTACTAATCCGGAGACTGATTGGCTAACTCCTGTCCAATTAGGACCCCTTCTTGAAGCCATGCAGTAAATTTGATTCAGAAGTTTTCCTCTTTTGCAAAGTAATAGCTGTAATAATCACACATATATTCAAGCCATCTTTTCTGACATTAATGGAATCCAGAAGTCACAATGCTACAAATACCACTTGTTCCTTAGACACTCTTCTAACAGTTAAGTCTGCAAAAATATAAATTATATTTGCAAGCCTTTTACCTATTTGTGCATACACTCCTTTGTGCATTAAACCTTTGGATTTTATACTGTCATTGAGTTGCTTCTCTTCTTCAAGGGTATCCGTCTTTGTCTTTGACTTTGTGGAATTCAACTGCACCCAAAGGAAAATCTTTATAATATCTAAATATTTTTGTATCATGATGTTTTATTTCATACTAAGGGAATAAATACTTAACACCAGGTGGATAATAGAAGAAAGGTTTATTGTACACAACAAGTACAATATGAAATACAGTACAGTTATACACACAGGTCAATCTAGTAGTGAGTGCCACTATTTGGAAGGTCGGACGTGCTTGCATCGTCTCACTCTCACTCTTCCCCGAGTCTCCCATAGACGGTTGACTTTATAGGTACTTATTACCTATAGTGTAATCATTCATGGGAGTGACTGATTATTCCATTACATAACATGAAATAAAGAAAAACTTCAGAAAACTGTCTGCAAAATGAGATTTGCTTTGTTTTGAATGCAGCTTCTTTGGTAGCAGACATGAGAATAGGGACATATAAACACATGTATGGTAGCACAAGATAACAAATGAAACAAGTATTGCCATAGAGATGGAAAGAAAAAATGTGTCAGAATTTATCTTCTTCCTGATAAATTTGACCGTTGAACCAAAAATTCTGTGTGGCAAAATAAGGAAAGCAAAAGGGTTTCATACATTAAAAGTCTTGTTTGAGATTTGCAAAGAATTTTATTAAAAAGAGTCTCCAAAGGGGAGTATTAAAGAAATTAACAGTATAAAAAGATACAATAATTAACACAAAAATAAAAAGCAGGCTTGCAAACAATTTCATGTATGCAGCCACGAGAATAGTTCTTGTCACCAAGTAACGTACAAAAGGAGAAAGAAGTAGGATTGAAACCTACTCAAAGTTCACAAACAAAGAAAATAGTTCTAGCAAAATAATGAGAGGAAAATTATCTCTAGCAAATTTTGTGCTTTTGGGAAGCAAAAGATGTTGTTTTAAAAGCCATGTAGCAAAACAATGTATGACAAAGTTCTTGTGAAGAAACTTTACAGTTCAAAGAATGTGGAGGAAAAAGGTTCCTTGTAGAAAAAGAGGCTTCCAGTCAAATAATCTAATTTCTCTGGCAGAAACTAGGTATTATTAAAAGACTTCTAAAAGAAGAAGGATGCTTCTCTTACCACATTCAACTAAACAAAGGTAAAGTTGCAAGTAGAAATTCTGGCATCTGCAGAAATATGAAACAAGGCCTAACCAAGAATTTGGAGAATTCTCTGGAAAATGCCTTTCACAATATTTTCTGGGTCTTGTCTTAAGCTGGGATGAGAAATATCTTCTTTTTTCAGGCCTATCAATCTTTCGTTGATATTCAAACAGGCACTGTAATAAATTCAGCAGAAAGATAAGCCAACGTTCGTTCTTCAAGGTGGTCGTGATAAAAGAGGGCATCAAGTAGTCGCAGACGCAGAGTTCAAAAAACTAGGACAGGCTTCCATTCCATTGGTCGATGTAGACACGTGTTTGGAGCCAGCCCTAAAAAAGGATTTCCTCCAGGAATTATTTTTGCACCCAAATGGTGCAAGCACTGTTGACTTCCAAACAAAGGGAGATAACAAACTTCACAAGATCTGAAGTAATCATACTACTCACACATGTACATTTATTTATTCATAACATATTTTTTATAAAAGACAAGAATTGTTAAGATAAAATTCTTTGTATTGCTGATACAGAGGATCAAGGTGGAATGTCTCTTTGTGGTTGAGGGAAGCAACTTAAAGTAGGGGGAGAGTAGATAGGGCTGGAATTGATATGTCAAGTTGGCTAACTGAAGTCACTTGTGATGACGTTGGAAGCTTGCTCTTTTGCTGCAACTGCTTCCAGTGATGTGATCAGTGTTCTCAAAGGCAGATGGGGTGGATCATAACTTTTTTTTCATGTTTTTACTTTGGTGGCAATGTTCACGATTGACTCCTTTTATATTGTTTTTTTTTTTTTGAGAGGATTTGTTTCGTGAGCTGGATATGATTCTCAGAGCCTCTTCACAGAGAGTGACTTTTTAATTTTGCTTTCTTAACATTTACATACAGATACAGCCAACAGATTTTGATTTAGAGTGAATCAGAAAGAGATCAAGTTTGAATCAGCGTATAACAGACATTATCTCTAGTTTAATAAAGGAAAATTTTATTTGATAGAAAACACAAAAATCATACCATTTTTGACAAGCATTACAACTCACAAACAATAGCAGTCTATAGAAAGAGCAACCAATCTCACAGACCACCTACATATAGACAGCAATCGCCCACACACAGAAAGCTGCAGTTTAGACAGACAGTTGGCTATAAAACAGCAGCAACATCCTGTCTAGACAGCATCTGAACCAGCCAATCAGGTGTTGAACACACACTGAACTTTTGATTTACACAGTAAGTCACATTAATTCTACACGAAGCAAATACACACATTCTACACAACAAACAAAAAACGGACCTTTCTTTTCTTGTAATCTCAACTAAATTGTTTATACAATGTTTTGCTTATTATAAAATATTTGTTTATTGTTGTTGATGTTCCGATAATCAGATTATTTTAACAAAATTTGGGTTGACAAAATGTTCACGATAAATTTGATACTTAACAGAGTAAAACTTAAAAATCTGCTCACAGCCATCAAAATTTAATTTGTTTAATACATATTTCTAAATTGTTTACATCATTGAATAAAGGATCTTGTTTGAAATAAAAAGAACACAAAATAAAGTTCTTTATTTTATAGTGGATGGATTTTGAGAGATGTGTGAAATGTCCAGTGATAAACACTGTATAACAATCTGTTCAAATTTCTACCCTGAAATTTTGGTTAGCACTTCATCCATACACACTTCTGCAAACACAGTAACAAGGTTATATAACCTCACACTTCAGGTTTCTATACAGAAAAAAGAAAGATACTGAATTTTGTTTGATATTATTTTTTATTTCGTCCATTAAAATCTAAAAATGTTATCAAAATAATAAACAGGGCCTTTTCACAATATTTTCAACATCGAAATATTGGCCAGAATTTATGACAAAATATACAGAAATTACTATACATGTGGTCAGTCTAGTTTCATCAGCTTAGTAATAGTCCAAGTTTTTGGAATCGGCTGCAGAATTTCAAAGAGCTATCTTTTTTTGCTATAGTCAGTTGTAAAATCAAATATGGAAGCATTTAAAGATAGAAAGGTTCAATACAATGAAGATTACATAGTTTCTTCAATCCCATAATCCTTTCGCCACTTAAGGGATTTATTTTATTTTAATATCCATTCTGAAACGAATTTAAACCGGAGATTTTTTTCTCATTTCAAATAAATATTATGTTGAATTTAAATTGAAATCTTTTGTTTCAAAATAATTTTCCAAATGGGGAGAAATTTTATATCACATCTTTATTTTTTGCGAGTACAAATAATCAACATATATGTCTGATATTGAACTAAAAGATCTTCCACAGAAGTCAACTGCCTTGCTTGTTAATCTGGAAGCCTTGAGGGAAATGGAATTTATTCACAAACCAAATAATCCCAGAAAGCCTTGACTGGAAAAAAGAAAAAACTGGCAATGTTTATGCCTGCAAAAAATGGTGTGTCAAAAGAACGGTTTTTCCCTTGACAATGCTATTATTTTAACTATCATCATGCCTCAGCAAAGTTTATTGTTTTAAAAAGTGATGATTAGAATTTTAATAAAACTTAAACATATGATAGTGAATTTATACATTTTCTTTATTCCTAAAAATTGACAATAAAAATATTAAACACTATTTATTTATTAGATTGTTTATTGAAAACATCAGATAATTCCCAATTGATTCAAACTTTATAAAATGGTAAATAATAAGGACTTTTTTAATTTAGTAAATATTTATAAATTTATGAATAAAAAATTGTTTTCATATTTATTTCTTTGTAAATTGCTTAGTTTTAATACAATTGTATTAGTTTTTAGAATGTTGTAAATATAAAATTATTCTTGTAAATAAACAATCTAATAAATGAATAGAGTTTAATATTTTTGTTGTATTAATTCACTCTCATCATAGGTTTAGGGTTTATTAAAAGAAAAATAATATTGGATTATTAATAAAAAAAAAATTAATTTTTTTTCTGGTGTCAAGTGAAAAATGTTCTTTTGACATGTTTTTTTTTTTTTTTTTCAGGTATGGAAGTTAATGATTGCCAAAAAATGATGTATAAGTTGAAGCATTCACAAGAAGATTGAATCCCTGGGCCAGATGGGGAATTTCCAAGATGGTGAGAGGACTGAATAATAAGTAACAATTTCTGACAAAGGGATTTAATCAAATATCAGACATTGTAATGTTGATAAGTTATATATGCAAATAAAAAAAAAAAAAAGATTCATGCAAAATACACAAAATTATTTCAAAAGGATTGATTTCTGATGTACTTTAAGAGATTGTTTTTTCAAAACATACAAAATTTTTGGA